GCAGCGGCCCTACTCTAAATTTGGAAAGCCAACTCCTGTCCTGTCTTGCCTGTGTACAACCTGCATAGCCCATAAAATCACAGGCTTTTAATTTTTCCTGATGCTCTTTCCAGGAATATATCGCAATTTAAACATCGATTTACAAGCTGTTTTTGAAATTGTAGGAATATTAATCTGAGCTCCCCATTGTTGTAACAAATCTCTTCCCCCATAAATTCATGGCTACATCAGCCACATAAGGCTTTCAGATCCCTTCCTATCCTTCTGGCCCTATACATTTAATCCATTCTACATTCTTTTTTTACTTGAGATAAGGTTCCAATGCCTACAAATTGAGTGGAGATTTCTTGTAAAGGCCAGTTGGGATCCCAGGATTCTTGTGAAATTATAGATACATCAGTATCAGAATTCAACAATCGTTCAATCTCAATCTCATTTAATTTTACTTTTAATTTAGGCCATTCATCATTGGTAACTGTTTGCCAAAACACCTTTTTTTCCCTGTACTTCCAAAGCCTCCTCCTGTTTTACATATAGGCGCCTCTTTGCCTTTAAGATATGGAAGCAATAATAACTGAGCAATTCTATCACCAGCTTCTATTTCCATGGTCCTTTTTACTTATGCCATCTATAAAAGCATTAAAGACAATCTCTGTAGGATTTTAAGAAGTAACTTTAGGCAATACTCTGGAGTATTTTCTATAAAATCTTAAAAAGAGGATCCTTTTTTTTATAGATCCCAAGTAACACGTTAATGCAACTTGTCAATTATTAACAGTGTGGATCAAATAATTTACCTGCATTTTACTTAGTGGGAAAATAATTTTGTAAGTTCTTTATAAATAAGAGATTATTTTTTATGAGTTTTTATCCTAGCAACTACATTATTTAATAAGCTAACAACCCAGTCTGTTTCAGGTGTTACATTTTTAAGAATTTAACAAAGAATTTCTAGAAAGCAACTTAAAGAGCAGAGCCAATTCTCAGTAATGATCAACAGACACAAGCATACCCAATATATAGTTTGAATTATGAATCCTGTTCCTTCACTTTATCTACCATGAAAATCAAACATCATCCAAACATTTATTAGACAAGCAAAAGAGAAGAGAACATTCTCTGTACAATGAATGGTTAATATCTCTGGGAATCCAAACAGCATCCACTTAGCATTCCATGTCCTGACATCAACCGTTCTTCACTAGAAGTTGGGCCCATTTAGACTTCCTCTTTCTCACATAAGAGACTACTAATAATGAGTTATTCCCATCATTAGGGAAAAACAGAACACATTTCCCACGAAGGGATCTTTAATATTGAGTTATTCCCACTCTGAGGGAAAAATAAAAAACATTTAAACCAGAGTTAAGCAAACAGACACGGCAGTTCTAAGCTCTGGGCCTGCTGTTGAGGCTGCAGAGGTGAGCCCACCTGTTGATTCTGTGTGATTCAGATGTCGCCACTCTGTGCCGGCAGCCAGAAAGAGCTCAGAGTTTAGCTATCCTGAAATTTTTTAGATCGGAAAGAGCCTTTTCTTCCTCTATTTCTATTGGGAAGAGGCTTTTTTCTTTTCTTTATTTTTCTTTTATGGGGTCTTTTAATCTTTAGGCCTAGTTTTAATATTTTTTTTCCCTTTTTACTAGGAAAATCCTTTTTTCTTGATTAAACATTTTCCTCTTTAACATTGAGAAATTTCCTTTTCTTCCCTCTTCTCTATTGGGAAGATTTCCTTTTTTATTTTCTTTCTTTGCTTTTTTTCCTACCGAAAAAGGTCTTTTCCTTTGATTTACTTTCTGTCTCAGGAGCCATTCTATTTCTATCTTTAAAAATTGTACAGTTACCCCTTTTTCTTTTGGCAAGCATTTAGCAACTGTACATTTTGTTGCTCCTGAGATGGGGAGTTTAAATTCCCCATGACCCTGCCGATCCTGGAGTCCTCTTACCCTGAGAATGCTTCCCTCCAGTTCTTAAGATGGCTGCCTCCTCTGTCCTTCTTCAAGCCATGCATTGGGGGCCAATTTTCGAGACACAAGTGCCTGGGTTCACATGTGTCCATTGAATGAAGATCCAGAGGCACCTTAAGAATGAATCCAGCCTTTTGAAGCTGCAGGGGGATTCAGTCTCTAAGGACTGAAAACTTTGCTTTTGCCCCCAGGGCGTTTTTATTTTTCTCCATATTTACACTTTAGCCAGCTGATTTTTATATGTTTGAAACCAAAGATGGATTAGGGCTAGGTGCTACTCTCTGGAGCCAGGCCAGAAGTAGCCCAGCAGGAATGCCAGTGCCCCACAACAGAAGTCCAATGAATTTTGTTGGGGTCACTTACGGGAGCAGAAATGACTCACAGACGGCTGCATCACCAAAGCCCACCCAGCATGGGTGACAGCTCACACAGCTGGAACCTGGAGCCCAGGGCACAGCTTAGAATGTTGGCTTGGCTGGCAGACACTGAGAGACTTGGAGGGTCATATACTCCTGACTCTTGATGACCCCAGATAGACTGTACAGGTCGGAGAGTCCAATGAGAAGGGGAAGCGGCAGAAGCTAAAGTCAGTCTGGTGCAAGTCCCTGGAGAGCTGTGTGGGAGGGGAGCATGTGTGTTCTAGTGACGACACACTGCCAGTCACTCGTGTCCTCCTCAGCCTTGGATGTCTCACCCATGACACTTGCACACTCATTGAAGGCCAGGACACCATCTGCCTAAGACCAGGCCTACCTAATCCATCTACCAATCTCCCCGGAAGCCTGAGATTCTTAGTGTTTATAGACAGAGCTGTGTGATTAAGTGTCGGAGCCTGCCGACAGAGGCGTGCGGATTGAAGAGACAATGAAGAGGACAGAAGAGAGTCGAGAGGTCTGCCGGTCAGCGCCGCACGGCCCCGAGTTTATTTCACAGCCAGCTTATACACAGTTTGAAGGACAGAGGTGGAACAATGCACAGCGCAGGCATTCAACCACTATCTATCCTGCCTTGCGTCAAGGAGCAGGCAGTTTCCTTTTCTATCTCAATGTACCTCCGGCTGGCATCAGCAGCCTGTGTCTAGTTAGATAGTGTGTTCCTTCCTATGGGCTAATCAGGACTTTCTCACAGCCCTGGAGCAAGCAAGCTTGAATTCTATTGATTCAGAATAGACTTCAGATTCAAACTGGGAAACTGAGTCAGTTGTGGGCTCCCACAATTAAGTCCAAGACAAGCTTGGCAAGTGTTGTGAGCTGAGCCAGGCCCCAGATGGAGAAGCCCTGAGTTTTTAAATCTGTAGAAAGAAACATGGTGGGATAGCCTCCTGTGGGGAGTGAGCGAGTTGGCACAGAGTGTCTGGGTAGCCCCTAGTCTGCCCTGAGCTCCTGCAGAGGGAGTGAGCGAGTTGGCACAGAGTGTCTTGGTAGCCCCTAGTCTGCCCTGAGCTCCTGCAGAGGGAGTGAGCGAGTTGGCACAGAGTGTCTGGGTAGCCCCTAGTCTGCCCTGAGCTCCTGCAGAGGCAGGAGGCCCCTTCAGAAGCTCGCTCCAGCCAGATGCTTGTGAGCTGGAGTAGTGATCCCAGACATCAGGCCTTAGCCGTGCAGGATGGCCTCCTGTTGAGCTGCTTGGTTTGGATATAGTTTCCTTGTGTCCCCTAAGAGTTCATGAGCTGGAAACTTGGTCCTCAGTGTGGTGGCGTGAGAGATGGTGGCGTGTGTATGAGGGGAGACAATTGGGAGGCGATCAGGCCACGGGGTGTTGCCCTGGGAGGGACTAATGCTGCAGACTGGTTGGGTAGGTCCCCTGTGTGGGGGCTGGAGACCACCCGTACACTGACATGGCCATGTGACCAGCGCTGTTTGTGGTCCCTCTGCCACATGCAGTCAGGGCGTCCTCACCAGAGGCCAAACAGAGGAGACTGCAGGACTTTGGACCTGGAGCCTTCAAATGATGACATTTTTCCTTATACTCCACCTTGGGTATTTTATCACAGCCTTATAAAAATAATAATACACCCAACTCTTCCCCGGGGCATACCTCCCAGGGAACTAGAGGACCTGCATCCCTGGGGTTTCCCATAAGCCTTAGCATTGTGAGAACCCTAGACATACCTTTCTGAATAGAGCCTGCAGGTATGAGCCCAAACTCACGTGAGGACATGGCTCACTGATGGATCAGTAAGGCCCGAGGACTGGCCATAAGACATCCATTTGGTGACTGATGTAGGAAAAGGCTTACTGCCATGGCCACAGAGCAGAGCCACAGTATGAGTTCTGAAGCTCAGGGACCCCAAGTCCCCACTAGGGGTAATGTCCAATGGGGAGGTAGCTGGGTTCAGAACTGGGTATTGGCACTAGGATAAGCTGCCAGGTCCTACACCTATTTTAAAACTGGCCCTTTGTTCTTGCTTCTGCCAGGGGTGTGAAGCCTCACTACAGCCTTGGAGCTAGGGAGCTTTGTTCTTTGTCTCCTCTCTGCCCAGACAAGGTCTCTTTGTGTAGCCCCGGCTCCTGGAACTCACTCTGTAGACCAGGCTGGCCTTGAACTCAGAGATCCTCCTGCCTCTGTCTCCTGAGTGAAATGCTGGGATTAAAGGCATGCTCCACCACTGCCTGGTTGAAATACAGAGTTCTAGTCTTGTTTTATAGATGGGACACAGATGCCCAGAGAAGCACTGTGATGCACATGCACTACACCATTGGCCCATGTCCCCAGCAGTGGGCAGAAGGGACAGATTTTGCTGTCAGGAGCCTGTGTGATCCTCCGTAGACTTTTAGCCTCTCTGGTCCTTCACTGTTTCACGTTCCTGGGGAGTTCAATCGGGGAAGTCATGTATGTGCCCTATGGACCCTGGCCTAAGAAAGTGACAGAACTCTGGCTGTGGTGACTGTCTCCTAGTATCGCCTAATGGGTTCTGCAGGGGCTTTTGGGCAGTGCTGAAACTGAGCAGTGACAGCTCAAAGTCCCATCGGTTGTCCCTGCTGCATCCTCCACCCAATCATTGCCCAGTCTCACATCCAAACGGTCCAGGCTCCCCTGTGAATTGCAAGGCTTTTATTGTTGGAATCCTGTTTTTAAGACACCTGGAGGGGAGGGGTAGGTTTGCTGCATCTAGGCAGGTGAGCAGGCAAGTGGTTTCCTTGAGTCTTCTGGCAAAGATAAATTCATCAACACGCTATCGAAGCTTCTATTTTCTTCTGCAAAGAGAAAGCGGGGGAGGCCTCAGAGGTGAAGGAGATCTCACCAATCATTCCCGGGGCACCTCTTGGGGGGACCTACAGCCCGTGTGCCATAGTTCATGGGACTGACCAGGCTCAGGGAGCCACCTCTGCACCCTGTCTCCCTCAAACCCCATGCAGGCAAGCCTTGTAAAGAGCCTCCAATCCAGCCTGATGGGAAGAGCCAGCTGCCCTTCGGGACACCCTGGGCACATGTGGGACAGAATGGAGGAGCAGCTGGGGAGGACCTGCCGGGGCTCTAGGGGGACCTGAGGGCAGCTGCAGCCCCATAAGTGAACTGATTCCTGTCACACGATGACCCTCAGACACACGCAGCTGAGGTGGTGACTTATCCCTACTAGTACTAGTGACGAAAGGGGATTCAACTAGATTCTCCACCTGGGTGTCCCAGGCCTGGATTCTACACAGTGACCTTGGAGGTCGAGAGGACACGAAAAAGATGAGTGGCTTGGGGGTGCCGTGGTAGACTTGAAAAGTTAGGATAAAAGATCCAGGCTGGGGAAGGGATGCCAGGCCCTGTGCTGGTGTGGCTGGACTCGGGAGGCTGGGCCAGAAAGGCTGATGGAGGCCGAGTGGTGTTGTGGGCCAGGGATCCTGGAGGGCCTAGCCTGGCTTAGCTGAACTGAAGAGCCAGGCCCAGCTGAGGCCGCCTGAGTGTCCCTTCCTGCCCCAACCTCATGAAAGTCTGTCGGGAGAGTCATATTTCTCGATTCACAGAGAAGCTGCGGTGGTAGGGAGGGATAGTCTCCATCCCTCACCCGGGGTGAGCAGATCGGCAGACAGGCTCCCGGGCCAGACACACAGAGACTCACCAGCAAACTCTTTATACTCTCCTTGTCTTCCTCTGTGAACTTGTCATCAGCGCATTTCTTCAGCTTTTCAGCGTTTTTCAGTGTGGCAGTGTCCTCCTTGTATTGTTTAATGAAGTTGACATAGTCAGTCACAGACTGGTCCAGAAAAATTTCAATGTCCTCTTTTATAGCTGGGCAAATGCCGCAGTCTGGAACACAAAGAAAAGGAGATCCTGCCTTGAAAGCCTTGAATCAGAACACACACACACACACATACACACACACACACACACAGACACTGACACACACAGAGACACACACGGACACACACACAGAGACATACACACACACACATGGACACAGACACTGACATACACACACAAACACACACTGACACACACACACATGGACACACACGGACACAAACACACACACACGGACACAGACACACACAAACACATACACACAAATGCACACAGACACACACACAAACACACACATACACACACACACACTGACACACACACATACTGACACACACACACACACACACACACAC